CCGTTCAAAATACAGGTCACCGTGTTTGCTGATCTGTAATTTTCTATCATCATCAGGATCAATGCAAAAAAAGGCAGGACATACATGACTCTGGAGCACATGACCATCTCCATGAATTGTGGAGTGTATGGTCAGCCCCAGGCTGTGTCCACATTGGAGACGTGGTGTGCACATCTACTACAGCGTCCTTCCCACTTGAGGATTATGCACAGGCACATGCTGAAAGTGAAGTTGCGCTTTTGTAAGTAACACTAGGATTGCTTTGGTGTCTGCTTTAAGCAATGTACTGGCCTAAGCTGTTATTTAGAAACTGATTTGTACCAGGATAAGATTTCATTGAGTTATGTCAGATGGTATACTGCCTTTCATGGTTTTTTGATCCTTAACAGCAAGCCTGACAACAGTTTGCAACAGTCACCAACATTGCTGAGTAGATTCAGAATTTTATTCAGTTGAGGACACATCGCTTTCTTATTTCAGGAACTATGAGCTAATTCTGTGTTATTTCCAGATTTTGAGATTACTAGATGAATGCTTGGAAGAGAGACCCAGTAACTGGTCTTTGAGATTTGTATTTTCGTATATTGGTACTTTAGGCAGAAGGGAATGGGTACTTTAAGCCACGGAAAGTTACGGTTAGTCACAATAATGATCAGATATAACTGCCTCCAGCACTCTTCTCAAGCCTGTGTTGGTCTCCACTCCTGGCCCTGGACTATGTTGTGTGGGAAATGCTACTGCTCCCTGAAGGTCTCTGACAGCCCTGACCAGGGCATTGGCTAAGCTGAGCCCAATCATCTTTTCTCAATACGTTGGAAAAAAGCCCAAGAACACCATGATACCAAATTTGAAAAATGTTAGTATTTCTTTATTGATAAAGTTTGCTGAAGTTGGCCCAGGTCTGTTCATGAACAGACCAAAATCATTTAGCTTTAAAATACTCTTTAAAGCCAATTGTACAATGAAGAGAGGTCAGAGAAGAAGTACAAGAAGTTCAGGGTTGTTCTGGGGTCTTCCGAACAAAGAAACAGGGGAAGAATTAGCTAAGACAAAGCATCGGTGACCACATCTCAGTTATTTTGCAATCAACATTTAGGAACTTTTATGCTTTTGTTGATTCAGTTTCACTACTGTGAATAAAACGATTGCATGAACAATTCTAGCAAGGTGTTGTGAAAAGAATTTGTTGTTTCATCAAGCTTCACTATGCAACTCTAGCATGACTAAAACCCCTACTAAACGTGTAATCACACAGAGATCCTAGAGATATCCTAGCCTAGCTGAGGGGCTTTAAACTAGAAGTACAACCAGATAAGCTCTGCTTTCCTTATCACATTCTTTACTTGAGCAAGGTTCTCCAAGGTTAGGGAATCATGCTTGTCTGGCAGAGATTACACAAGAGTTGATGTTCTCTTATTGCTAAAATCAGAATAATACTCTCTTTCCCAGTTCAGGATGCCATGACTGGATGACAGCTAGTTAAGTATCTCCCTTCTTGTGATTGGCTTACCCTTGTGCTTGGCAAGAGGCAACAGATAGAAGGTAACAACCAGCATCCTGGGCATACAGTCTGGTGGATTGTACATGCGTGAAAGCACCACAAGAAACACGAGAGCAGGAGTTAGAGGAACGGTATGCATTGATAGCCAAGGACATGATTAACACCAATCAAACTGGTAAGCGCTGAGGAATGTGTTGCTTGCACTGTGGTGCGCCACAGAAAAGGTGACTCATCAGCAGAAGATTTGCACTTGCTAACAGAAGGAGAGCAGTGGGGATACAGCACATTTCATGGGCTGTTTCTCTTCCTGTTATCCCAGCAGGAGGACAGGATGTCTACTGTCCTATGGTTCCTCAAACAAGAACATGAAAGATGCCCAGCAACAATGATGCCTAATATTTATGAAGCGTGAAGTTAACAAGATGCAGAAGCAAAACATCATGCCACAGTAACTTTTGACTCCTAAAGGACCTTAGAGGCCAAGAAAGAGTTGGCCTTTGGGCCTCAAGCAGGACCCAGATGGCATATGGAGGACCCTTGCCTTTGATGTCACACTCAGGTGACCATGGCCAGACCAGTTGGATACAGACATTTTGGGCCCTCTGAGAATGTGTGTATGAGAGTGCTGATTGGTACAGTCTACTTGGTTAGAAAGTTAAATAAAATACCTTTCTGTTTCTAAATGGTCCTAAGTTTTCTTAGATTAGTTCCTACAACAATACTGTAAAAACGTCCCATCAGTGTGGTTATACAGCTTCATCTTAAGATGCCCATGACAGTCTATCTAATATTTGGTTGTGCACCCTACCATGTATTATGGGGTCCTGACACCATAGGTTAATACACTAGTATTTTTTTATTTACAACTCCTTACAACTCTGTTAAGTGTACAATGATAGCAGTATCGTGATGGTATTGCTCTTTCCACCTAAACTTGCACCTGTGTGCCAAAACGCCCAACTCTGGTCTCTTAACTTCAAATAACTCAAAGGTCTTCATTGCTTCCTTTGACTACTCTATGCAAGAGTTTCTCGGTAAAAAGCTAGCTGCTCCTTGTTGGCAACTTCTCTCCTTCCTACCATAGTTATGATAGGCACTGGTGCTAAATCACACACTAGCCTCAGCACTGATACACTGCTCCAATAGCCTTGTCCCATGGCGTGAGGATGCTGGAGAAGACTCTGCTGCCTTTCCAGCCTCTATTAGTACCTAGTACTAGTACTTAGCACCTCCACTAGATAACTAGCACCCAGTGGAGGTAGAAGGCAAGCAGACTTGACAGTGGATGATGTAGACAACCATACAAGTAAAAGGTGAGGTCTGTCTTGATGCTGTTGAAGGAAACCTAATGGTAGACTAGAAAAACACAACTGGGTATGGGTTTCCCCATCCATAGTGTGTTTTTTAATTCCTCTTGCGACTCACACCGGAATTGCCCTCTACACAACCTTCAAAGTCCATCTTATGGAGTGGGATTTTTGTGCTCATGGGAGTCGGAAGACATTTTCAAAAGCTCAAAGTAGACACAGGGACAAAAGTAAAGTAATGAAACAGTGAAGGCTCTGGCCACACCTGCTGTCAGGAAGGTAGCGCCCACACACACAGTCCCCTTCTGTCAGCGGTTGCGGAGTTGATAGAAAATTGCAGTCTGGTGGATGGAGTAACACACGAATGTTTTGGGCTGTGTTTCACAACTCGCATACCACTCACAGGCTATGGCGGGTATGAGCATTAGAAGTCAGCCTAATCCATGACCAGGAAACATATACTCAAGCAGAGCACCTGGTAGCCAACTGAAAGCTCAGGTTGGCTACGCTCAGGCGTAGGTTGTAAGGTCATGGGCTGGAGGTGGAGAACAAACACCTTTGCTCTGTGTAATCCCTGTTGCTTCAGCCAAACAGAGGCATTGCACAAGCTCTCCTCCGCTCTGCCGTCCATCAGCAAGATGCTAAGCTTGGTGCTTTTCCAGAAAACGTTGCAGAGGTTTTGCAAATTGCCAGTTGCAAATACAATACCGCTTGGGTATAAGGGCTACGTGGACTTTGCCTGGGCCACTGTCACTTTTGAAGAGTGGTGTAATCACCCAGTGTGTCCCACCCAGGCATCCAGTGAAGCCTGACTGGTCCTTGGCACATGTCTCTATAGAGAGGTTGGCATGCTCCTGAGGCCTTTTGAAGGTGGTGGAGCTCAAGTCCTTTTGTTGCCTTAGGAGCTCTTCTAAGAGGCATTCCCAAGGGCACCTGGGAGTTAAGAAACGACACTTAACAAAGAAAACCTTTTGACTTTTTTTACTGCCACTATCACAAGCTTAAGGTGCAACTCCATAGCTGAAATTACTTGCTGCGCCACTCTGGCTGCTTTTGGAAACATAATCCTTTGCAAGCATGAAAGTCATGACCACATGGCCAAGAAGAGGAAGTGTCATCAAAGATATGACCAGCATGCACATCACTTAATTGAAGGACACGTGATGTGGTCCAGCGTGGTGCCAACGTAGCAGGGATCTGACACAACGTGCTCTTTTTAATGCTGGTGATGACAGAGCCACCACCATTCACACCACCAGCCTGATCAGATACGACAGTGGGCTCTGCCTGGTAACGTATTTTCCTCCGCGTAATTCAGATTTGCGTTGGAACTATCCCAAGGGTGAAAAAGCATCGATTGCTTTTTTTCTCAGTAACTTGCCTCTTGGTAATACCATAGAGAGGGCTACTGGGCATATTTCAGAAGGCAGATATGTCTCATGGTGTGGGAGACCCATTGGGAGGAGGAAGATGGGAGGTAGAGAGTAAACAGATAGCTGGTGAGAAGATTTGCAGCTCATGCTAAGGGGTTGAAGTTAAGCTCTAGCTTTTAAGAGCTTGGAAAAGCATTAGAAATCATATATAATATTAACTGTGTATTAAGAATAGATCTGTGCTCAGGACAGGAATCTCTAAGGTGATCAGGAAGGTTTCTGTTTTTTTCAGGCTACACATTTAATAAATAGTCTTCCTACAAGGCTCTACCAGTTTCAGTTCATAGAATCCTTGTGTTAATAGTGGCTCGTGGGTGCAAAAGCTAAGCAACAGAGAACAGCAAAAGTACAGACATAGTCATTGCTCAGTCATCATAAATGTGTTCCTTGTGAACCATAAACTCTTACTTAGGATTAATTCCCTCCATGTGACAATTAGCCCAACAGCATTTTCTGTTGCTTTAGTTTTTGCATTATAAAAATGTTTCTCTTCTTTTTACCATTAAAAATACAAAAATGGGTCTTGACTAGTACCAGATCCGGTTTGTACATGGGAGTGTGATGAGCCTTGCGTGGACTCTAATAGAAGCTGGAATCGGGAGTCCCCTCTGCATCCCTGACCCAGACCGTGATGTATGGTCTTCAGATATATAAGGAACTTAAACCATCATAACCAAGTAGAAACAGACATTCATAACAACATTTAATAATAATAGCAATAATAATAATAATAATAATAATATTTTACACAGACACAAGATGTGGCTGTTTATTGCAATCCTGTTTTTGACACAAGCACACACGAACTCAGCAGATGCCATCGAGCAGAAAAATGCTATAAATCCTGAGACTTCCATGAATGTTGTAAGTCAGAAGTTTGAATTTTCGCTCTCTCTGAAAGTTTGCGGACGTTTAGCTGGGGGAGAGAGGGATGGAGGTATGTATGTGCAGAGGGTTCAGGTCACCACGTGTGCTGGTTTTGTTGAGCGGTGTGATATGACGTTGCCTCGACATCGTCATTAACAAGCACTGCTTCCTGAAGGAATCCTCTTCCTCCCAGCAGTATTAAGTGCAATTATCAGCAAGTCTGTTAGAGAAAGGAGTAATCCCAGCCCAGATTTGATCTGATATCTTCCTGCAGGGCAGAAAGTTGTGCATGGCACCTCTCCTTCAGCTGCAGCAGGTTGCCTGGGGCCATGTCCAGACTAGTCCTGAAAGTCTCTGAAGGTGGGTTTAGACGGACCCAAAATGTGGGCAATACAATTGCTGAAATGAATCTCTTCTGTCAAACGTGCGACAAAGCAAACATGCAGCGATGTGTAGGCAGGATCCAGCTGGATTTCAGCAGACTGAAACTTCCCAATCTCTGGAGTTTTCAGCATAAATAAAGCTGAGGCAGAGCCTCAGGAGCCCTACAACAAATCCTGCGGGGCTTGTCCTATTGCCCTTCCAGTCGGCCCAGCTCGGCAGGTTTGATATGCCCCACAACCTTATCTGCCCCGCGCATCGGCTCAGGGCGTGACATAGCATGTCCTGCTGCCGGTGTCAGCTGTCAGTAAATCCCTTCGGTTTCAATCTTAGTTTTTGGAAGCATTTCAAATGCATGTGCTGCTGCATGCGGCAGGGGAGCCCTGCTGCCCCCAGCTCCCTTCCAGGGAGCCCACGCCTGCGCGTCTCCTCTTCCCTTGGGCATCTCACTGGGGCGGGCGTGGGATTCGGACAGAGCATCCTCTCTCAAAAAAGTCCTCAGCTGATCCAGGACACCCCGGGGAAAGCAATGTCCCCGTTGCCGTGGTGTTTTGGTTTTGCAAAGGCATCCCAGCGGATGAGGGATGCGCTTTTCAAGTCAAATGAGCACTCGGCTACAGAAAGCTTTCCACCTGGGTTTTTCTTTCCCCAGAGCCAAATAATCTGCCACGGAGGGTACCCCAGTGAAGAGTATGAAGTCCTGACTCGTGACGGCTACTACGTCAGCCTGAACAGAATTCCTCACGGGAGAGAAAATCCTAGGAACAGAGGTATAGCTCTATTTCACAAGGAAGCCAGCAAAAAAAAACCCCAACCCTAGCATAACAAGCAGGTGAAGGGATGAACCTTACCAGGCCAGGGGAGCATTTCTTCTTGAAACAAAAATACCAAATCCATGGTACTTCTCCAATTTACAGTCAAGGCTTTAGCAGTCAGCACAGGAAACCATGCATGCAGCACGGTAACCACATCTCGTATTAAGCAGAGACTTCATTTTAAGGCTCAGAGGGTGCAGGCATATCTTAAGAGAGCTCCTAATTTAATTTTTTTTTTACATAAATTTGTGACTTTGGGGTTTGAACGATCTCAGGGATGAGCCTGTACACCTGAGCTTTCACATGGTGTTTGTCAGTGGCCAAGGTGCTGAGCCTGCGGGGATGAGCACCTGGGGTCTGAAAGGCTTAGGAGGGACATCTGCAGCTCTCCAGCCTGAGACTACAAGGGCAACCACCACGAGACAACTATGGCATGGATTTCTTCACCAGGAGGTGTCATTAAAATGCACATCGTATGCCCTCTGGCAGTGCAAGAAGAGGATTTGCTGCCCTGAATTTGGGGTGAGTAAGTAGAGAAATTCTGGTTCGGTGAAATGCACTGTTTCTTTCACATCCAGAGGCCAAGCCAGTCGTGTTTCTCCAGCATGGGATATTCGGAGAAGGCAGCCACTGGGTGGAAAATCTGGCTAACAACAGCCTTGGCTTCATACTAGCAGACGCCGGCTATGACGTCTGGCTGGGAAACAGCCGTGGGACAAGCTGGTCCCGGAGACACCAGCACCTTTCAGCTGACCAGGTTGAATTCTGGGATTTCAGGTGGGTTGGAGCAGATTACAAAAGCACGGCAAACTTCTCTGCCTGTCCCTAACCTCTAGGCAGAGGTGGATGCCTCCAAGCAGGCAAGTCAGAGCACCTAATCCCTGGGTATGGCCTCCCCCAGACCTCCTGGTGCCGTGCCCAGGGAGGATGGAGGTACCTGTGCAGACCTGCCTGCTGACATGGTGCCAACGCCTCCCTGCAGCTGCCTGGCCCTGCCAGGAGCGCCGGGCACCGCTGCCTGCGTGGGGACGTCCATCCTGTGGAGACATCAGACCTGTCTTGGGGCACCTGCAGGGACATCCCTGGCCAAGCCCCCCCATCAAGATGTCCACAAGCGTCATTGCCGCATCCCCTTCTAGACGTTGTCCACAGAAACCTTGTCCCCAACAACGGCACTAGCTGCTACTGCCACTCCAGAGCTTGAGAGCACTCCTGGATTTCCCAAACTCATAGACATGCTTCCAGTAAAAAAAGCTAATAAAGTAGGTCTGCATTTCACCATCTCACGCTAAAAGGCACATGGGCAGGAACTGGTGCTCCACTCCCTTCTGGGAAAGAGCATCTCTAGGAGCCAAGCTGGTGCTGTAATCCTGACGAGAGCCAGCCCTGGGTCTGCAGAGCTGCTGTGTCTTGCACCTGAATGCACAGCTGGCCGGGCTCTGCACGGTTTCTTTACCACTAACCATGGTTATTGGAAGACTAAGCCCATTCAGGGAAGGATGAGGCCATGGCAGGAGGGATGCCTTGCAGTTTCCCCTGTGTAGCTTCATTCTAGCTCATTTTCTCCTGGAAAATCAGCCACAGATGTTAAGCCCTTCAGTATAAGAGCAATGCAAGGCAGCCAAAATTCACTGGCAAGTTGGCTTTCCTGGTGTTACCTTATAACCAACGCACTACTCCTGTGTTGCAGCTTTCACGAAATGGCAATGTACGACCTCCCAGCCATGATCGACTTTGTTCTGCAGAAGACTGGGCAGAAGCAGATCTATTACATTGGCTACTCCCAGGGCTGCACGATCGGTGCGTTAGAAGGGGTTGCACATCACGTTGCCTGGACCACACTGAAAACATTCATTTTGGTGTTTGTGAGCAGAAAGTGGAGAGGTCCCACCTTTGTGGGCTGCCAACCAAGCAAGCTAGATAGAAGGTCTCTTGCATTGAGAAGTCCCACAGCAGCCATGCTTTCTTTAGAAGACATCTTAGGAGGACCAGCGTGCTCCTAGGGTAGTAAGAAAGCTCCTGGTGACCTCAGTAAGCAACTTGCTGCAACTGGAGCAGTTATAATTCAACCTAGAAAACTGGATTGCAGTGTTCCATATCAATACCCAAGGCATTGTGCATGGAGGTCACAGCTTCTGCTTTCTGATGAAACGCACGGTGCTTCTTTTCACCAGCTGGGCCATCAAGGGTGTGAGATAACCTCTGTGACGATGATACCCTTTAGCAGTGGTTGATGGAAGATGACAGTAGTGTTCCCTTCACCTGGTGAATGGGGCAGTGCTTCCCATCAGTGGTAATTGTTGAAGTGCCTCATCAGCCACTTCTAACCATAGGAATAAAGGCGTTGTTTCCTTTTGGACATCTCTAGCACTAATGTTAAGCAGAAAGGTGGCAAGTGATTCCAGATTTCTAATTGGAGCTAATGCCAGCTAAACAGACCTGGGCAGCAGGTCCAAGCAAACCCTCAGGTTAAGTACCTGAAGAAAGATAAACCAAGTCTCAGGTTGTTTTTCTGTTTTCTCAGGGTTCATTGCATTTTCATCCATGCCAGAACTGGCTCAGAAGATCAAAACGTTTTTTGCCCTGGCTCCAGTAACGACAATCAAGTACGCCAGAAGTCCCTTCATGAAGATGTCCTTCCTTCTGGACAAGCAATTCAAGATGTTTCAGGTAGGGGATTACTCCATGCTCTCCTCCCCGAACACACTGGCGCTAGCAAAGGGGGTTGTGCCCAGAGGCAGCCCCCAGGGCTACCCAATTCGGCAGAAATCAGTTCATGGCCGCACGGTCACTGCGTTGAGAGCATGCCTGCCTTCCATCTGCAGGGCCTTCAGGTGCTGAAACTGGTCTTTCTATGGGGGCACTTGTCGGCTTCCCGCACAGGCCGCCTGCAGAAGAGCAGCTTTACTGTGTTGATTTTAGTGAGAGTGAAAAACGAATCCAGCGCCTGGGGAAGGCCGGGGGAAAGAGGAGAGCCCCAAGTACCCGTTTCCCCGGGGCGCGTTCCCTCAGCGTCGCGCCTGCGATGAGCCGCGCGCACCTCGGTGGGGCAGGAGGGCGAAGA